TTTAAATAATGAAAGGTTTTATACCATCATTTATTTCATATTGCAGTTAGGAATATTTCAATCAATTTTCTATTGAAGGGAGATAAATAGGTTCAATATAACTAATTAATAAAATATTTAAGTTTTTATCATTTTTACATTTAAAATCGAAAATATTTATACATTGTGGTAATATTATGAGGTCATTGTCTTCCAATTAATCTGCCTAATTACATACGGTGTGCAAAGTCACCACAGTCATTCAGAGATTATTGAGGCATTTTTTATAAAATCATAAAGGATTCTTTTATTTTTAGTTATTACTTTCATAATTAATTTACTATAGGGGTTAGAGATCATACACATTGCAACATAGCGTACATTATCCTTTCGCTATTTTAAAAAATCATTTATGCCATAGCATTTGTTTCTAGGCATATTATCATTCCTTATCAGATGATCAGTTAGTTTCAAACATTTTTAATCATTACATGGTTAGATCATATATTCGATTTTGGTAAGGTTTTTAAATGTTTTTGTTGGATTTGGGTATGAACATATGACAAACAGACATACAGACAAACTTTGTGGAAAAATAGGGTCTACTGGGAGAAAATGGAATCTTATTGCATAATGACTAATCCTTCATACAATATTATTATGCATCAACCAATATTTACTAATAATGATTTTAAAATCAAACAGATAAGTACTAATACTAAAGTGGACATTGGTAACTTTTGTGTAATTATTAACTGATGTTCGATTATATTTTAGGATGGTCAATTAGTATCAAGCAAATATAATCAGAATATAAAAACAATTAGAGGTGATCAAATTGCTTGGAAAGATGGAAGAGAGGCAGATTGTTATAATATAGGCCAATTAATTGGCAAGGTAAAAAGAAATATTTAATTTGCAATAAAATCAATAATTTATTAACAATTTGTTTTGGGTTTAATTTTGCAATACTGATAGTAAGCATGAAACTAGTAGGAGTTTCAATTTTTTATTAGTTGTTTAATAATTTATTTTATAATTTTCATGCTTTTTGTTTTTTAGGTTGATGCAGTAATTATGACTTCAAATAAGATGGCAAACAATGGTAAAATGGGGCAGTACGTCATCAATGGCAGAACCAAGGTAACTAGTAAAAGCCGTTTTTCAGTTTTATTATATGTATATCATCAGTTCAAATTTTTTGTACACGCAAGATCAATATGCGTGAATAAATGAAGTGCACGGGCAAAAATTGTGTTATTTTTTAGTTTTTATTTCTTTCTAGATCTTTTTATTATAAAAATATCAAGTTTACAATCCTGCTGATACATCAACTTTTGATGTAAGCTGCTAATACCAGTACATTTTTTTTTAAAGAGAGCGAATTTTGAAAATTATAATTTCATAAGTTAACAAAAATCTTAATTTTTAAAAATTTAAGACAATGTATCATTATTTTGGACTGTGGTCTCAGAAATGTTATTAACGATTAAAGTTCCAACATTTAAGAACAATATTAATGAAAATCAAGTACAATAATCGAAAAATTGTTGGTTTGACCAAAGTTTTGGATTGCACTTAAAAGCTCATCATTTTCAAACTTATGTGATAATTTTTTTTTCTAATTTTTTTTGTGATAGTTATCAATATTATTATGCCGTGTAGATATATTAAAATGAAAGACATTCATGCTGTTGATATTTAATGTTTATATTAAAATATTGAAAAGTTGATTTTCCCAGTTAGTTAGATTTCATTAACATTTCTTATAAAGATTCATATTATTGAGATACAAATTTAATTTAAATCATTTGTTTGTTATAATTTGATGGCCTATAAGTAATTGATGATCAAAGTTTTATTGCAAATAATATTTCATTTATTTTTGTTGAATTTAAATTAATTAGGCTATGGTAGCTTGCTATCCTGGATCTGGGACCCACTATGTAAAACATGTAGATAATCCAAATAGCGATGGTCGATGCATTACTGCCATTTATTATCTCAATCCAGACTGGGATGTTCAAAAATATGGGGGACTTCTACGAATATTTCCTGAAGGTAACCTAATATTTATATATGGTATTACCAAATTGATTTAAATGAATTGAATATTCATACAAAACATATATGAAAATTGTCAATTCTGTAAAATGATTTTTAATAAATTTCTTAAAATCTGCTAAGAACAAAATTACCATTTTAATGTTGCAATCTTGAAGCCAAAATATTTTTAAAATATGTATATATCATAAACATTTGTGATCAATCTTATGAATTTAACTTTGACTGAAATCTTGGTTTTTACTATTTGATAAATTTAAAAATTATTCCTTGTCGAAACTTCAACAATTTTTTGAATGACATCCATTGCTAATGTAAAGTAAAGTTTTAGTAACATTTTGTTAAAAGTGATTTTTTTATATCTCTTATAGGATGCGACAGGGTGGCTAATATAGAACCTGTGTTTGACCGCATATTGTTTTTCTGGTCTGATCGCAGAAATCCTCATGAAGTGCAACCTGCACATCAAACAAGATATGCTATCACACTTTGGTATTTTGATGCTAATGAACGAGAACAAGCTTGTAGGAGGTACTCTCAAGAACATAGTACTAAAGTTCAATAGGGAATATATCAAGTAAAAATTTAAATTCGAAGCTAAAATGCATTATTTATTGCTAAATATTCATCATTATATTCATTTTTTTAAAAAAATTAGACTGATTCAAGCTATAGCTAACACTTGCAAAAGTTAGATTAGTGTAAATTTAATCTCAAACACCCATTGGTTATGAAATGAAATAATTACGCAACATTATTTTCAGATTTTTCAAATTGAATATTTTATATAAGTATTTAGTTTTTTTTTCAAATTTTTACCCTCAACATTTGCAATGAATGCATTATTTATTAGTGAATGTATAGAATGAATGTTTGTGATTTGTGCTAGGGATTACCAGCAGCAAACTGGTAATGAGAAGATGTTGGGAAAGCCTGGTGCTAACGAAGTATTTACACAACTTTAGTTTTAATTAAATGTAATATAACATTGGTATAATTTTTTCTAACTTTTAATTAATATTTAATTTCTGTAACTCATATGTAATATACAATGAAATGGTCATAAAATAATTAATGAAATTTTAAATTAATTTTTTTATTTATTCAAATAGCTTTTTTGAACATAGGCAGACTGAAAGGTACAAATGCTTAATAAATGTTTGAATGAAATGTTTAATGAAGTTATAAATCCTTCATACACGGTATTACCAGGAATGAGATTAGGTATTATGTAGATAATTATATTAAATATTAATAAAGGGATCATATATTGATCTTTTTTCATTTTTAGTGATTAGAATTAATACCGGTCATTAACTTTCAATACATCTGTATTTTATTTTTATTTTGATTGGAAAATGTATGAAACTATTGTTTTGTTCTCTAGATTGTAGTCTGATTGGATCAGCATTCAAATGCTTAAATATACATACATATATAGTATGATTAATAGTAATTAATGCAAGTGATATATAAGTTAAATTTTGATAAATTTGTATAATTTGTTGATTACTTGGTAAACAAACTTTAAACATCTTTTCAGCCATCAAATACAAATTTATATAACTTTTGTTTTTTAATTTTTTATTGCTCCAAATAATACATATATTCTTTGATTTTAGTAACCATGCAATGATGCTAATCATGTCAGGTTGCAACATTTAAACTGAACACTTATTTAGAAAAAAATTGATTGAATAATTTTAGGTATATTATTTGGTCATATAGTATTTGACTTTAACATGTACTGAAAAATTTAATTAAATTATGTATAAAAGTGATGTGTTTAGTTAGTATCACACAATTCATGTCCTATATATGATTTAATTTTATGTCCAATATGAAAAAAAAGAAATTTGCAATATCAAGATATAACACAGATTTAAAGTTTAAACAAAACAAACAATGATTACGATATTATGATGTGATGATGTATTTGATTATCAAAAGCATTTATGTTCTTGTTATTGCAATGTTCTGATTACTATAAGTTATTGAGAGCTGTAATTTACAGAATGTTCTTAGAGATTTTCTTTATTGGAATTGTAGACATTGTAAATAAGATAATAACTAAGAATTTTGTAAAATGTCAATGATATTTTCATTGTTTTGGTCTATAGCACTTTGTATTAAACTGTAAATATTTAACTGTTCTAAGTAATTTAAATTATCTTTAAAAATACATTTAATTTTCAGATTTTTTATTTAATATAAATGCAAAATTTGAATGTTGAGCACACTTGCTGCTGATTTTTTTTTATTTTGTGGCGGCATTGTGATTTTATAGACATATGTAAATTAATAAAAATAAACACTTAAAATAAATATATTTTTGTTTTGTATATAATAAAAAATAAATAGGAATGTATATTGCAAATATAATTGATATTATAATGGGACAGTTAGTTTTCCCTTAATAATAATTTAGTTGTGCAATGTGATTAAAATTCAAACAATATAAAAATTCTGGGATTTCTTTAGTTATATGGATACTTGTACAACTGTGTCACAACTGTTAGTATTTATAATAATATTCATTTATAATCAATATCAATTTATAATATTAACAAATTAATACAACATACGAGAGAATGCTTTTGTGTGTCTTCAGTTTAATAATATTGAATGACATTTTCTTCTTAGAACCAGCTCACATTATATTATTCAATAACAATATTATTATTTTAATAGAACATTATAAACAGGCTGTTAAAATTTTAATTAATTGCCAATAAGTTAATTAAAAAAAATATAAATAAGTAGTGTTTTATATAATCATAAAAATATTGATATTATTATTGAAAAGACTGTAGAATAAATAATCTTGAGGTACACTAAATCAATTTTAATAAAAATATTTTATACTAGTGTGTAATGTAACTCATCAGATTTGTTTAATGTTATGCATAAATTTTTGACTTTTAATAGTCATCAGAAAAAGTCAAATGCCGAGTATTTATAAAGTGATGGAGAAATAACTATATTTATTATTAAAAAATAATTATTATTACTTAAATAAAAATCAAGTTTAGTGTGATGTCTATTGGGATAAGCTGTACATCTATGAAAGTGTTTTTGTGCAATTTTGTTGTATAATAAATTGTGTTAAACTTATATATTTATAAAGACCTTAGATTTATTAATACATGATATTGAAGTGACGTTATTTCTTTAAATTTTTTTTACTTCAATATGAATATTCATATTATGAATCATTCATATTGAACTCATCTGGACTTGAAAAATATATAATTTGATTCAGGTTACCAGTCATTCGTAATTAGTACAATCTAGTAACAAAACAAAAAAAAAAATTATCGTTAGACATAGATTTTACTAATACGTTTTAATTTTGTTTACATTTCTTCGGATGCCATAACGCGGGCGACGCGGCGCTTACGCGCTTCGATATTTCGTCTCTATGCAGTTAAAAAAGTACGATGCTTTGAAAAAAAGTTCAAAATTTGCAAAATATTTCGAAACAAAGAAAAGTAATTTTTCTCAAAACTTTAAAATTTTTCTAAAAACCTAATTTTTCAAAGTTTAAAAAAAAATTAATCTTTTTTAAAAAGAAAATTTTTTGGTACGAGAAGTTCCAGCAATTTGCCTTAAGGCACGATGCCATGCACCAGTAGTCAAGTATATAATTAATATAAGTGAAGTTGCTATTTATTTATTTGATACAAAATTATTGAAATTCAGCAAGCCGTTGAGACAAGATTTGACAAGAAGTTTTAAATGATTCTGACAAAAGGTTGAAAATCCCTGAAGTAATTTCAAATGTCAATTTACTCATGCTTGACGTTTCTCGCTCTTCGCAATTCATGATTGAAGTAAACATTATGTTTAAAATTGCTAAAACAACAAATTTAGATTGTTCTTATATATTATGCAAATAATAAAAATACGTGACATTGTCGAGTTGGCTTAAAATATATTGCCATTTTATATGCAACTGTATTTATGGTCGTAATTATAACATTAACCTCAAGAAATGACGCCTGACGAATTCAGTAGAGTTTGTAGAGTGTGCATGATAGAAAATGGCGAAATAGATATATTTATTAATGCATTAGAAGATACTAGTTTAATTCAGGATGCGATTGTTATGTTGACTTCTTTAAAGGTAAGCATTGACAGGTTATGGGTTAAACAAGCTGCATGGACAATTTTGTAGAACTTACAATTGCATGCTGATTTGTTTTGTTTTTTTCTGTAATTTAATTTGAATGTGGAAATTTTAAGCACATACATGCCTAAGTAGGTATAAATTATTAGTGTATACAATTATACTTAATAATGTGATGGTCAGATCGGATCGAGCAATTCAAATCATTCGAATCAAGCCCTTAATAAATTGGCTTGAATCACATTTTACATGATTCGAATCAACTCGTGTTAAGCCGAATAATAGTTACTGTGACATAATATGTATGGAGTATGAACATAGATTTCAATAAATCTAAAACAAAATAATTTTAATTAACATAAATATAATAATGTAAAATCGAATTAAGTCGCCTCATTCGAGTTACAAACTGATCCGAATTCAATTGAATAATTCGAGTTTCTCGCACGATTCGAATTTAATCAAATCATTTGAGATACTCTCATGAATTGAATGAAATCGAATTATTTGAATTGTTTGCTTGCATGCGAGCCTTTCAATTTCTGAAGGGATACAACAGCATTATTGTGTTCTTTGCTTCTGCCTGAATCAAATTTGTTTGTGAAATGTTTATACATACTTAATTTTGTAATAAACATGTGTTTTAGAGACCATATGTTAAATTCTTGAATTCAGAACATGATTTATCTTGTTTTTCACATAGAATAGAATAGAATAGAACATTATTAAAATTCAATAGTTACAATTTAAGTGATTTACAATACATAAATATTCTAAAAATGTATTTATAGAATAATAAGGATTATTTAGTAAATAATTTTTAACAATATTTTTAAAAGTGAATCTGGTTTTGCATCTCCATCCATCAGGTAGCTTATTATAGATCTTGGCTCCCAATGAAGTTCTTAGCGATGATTTATTAAATTAAATAAATTTTTATTCAACATATTGTGGTCATTGTCATCATTTCTTAATAAATCAATAGTTTTATCAGCATACACTGCAATAGATTTTTGCCAAATATAAATATTTGTTACAGTCAAAATTTTGTATTTGATGAATAGTGGCCTGTAAGGCTCTCGGGTAAATCATATGTAATTTGATTATGCAAGCAATGGCAAATTCATTACAAAGAAATAATTGTAATCTTTATGGTAGTGGACTGATTTTTTTAGCCACAATATTGGTATGCAGAAGTGTTTGGTTATTTATTAATCAATTTCAAAATATATTTTAACCATCTTCAAAATTAAATTATTTGAAAAAAAAATTGTAATAAACTTGTTTTATTGTCATCCTTCACTGTAAACAAGTATATTGGTCATTTATATATATATAAAAGAGGATCGCTTAAGTAGCAACACTTATAACTCACGAACGGCTGAACCGATTTAGATGAAAATTGGCAGGGAGGTAGTTTAGAGCCAGGAGAAACACATAGGATACTTTTCATCCTGTTTTTGTATAACCATCTATAACCTTGATTCTTATGACTTTGATATTGGGAGATAAACGGTCATCTTTGAAAATCCATAGTAAAAGTAATTTCTTCTGTTGGTACTTTTTTAACATTAGTTAAAAATGTAATTATTTTGTAAATACCTTTAAAATTAAAATAATACATTAAACCTGTTTGCCATCTGGCCGTTCCAAGTTACCCCGCCTATAGGGTAAAAAGGTCTAGATAACAAATATTTGAAAGACAGAAAAAAGCACATTTTTACAATGATGAAGAAGCTGGTAGTTTTACTGAACGTAGTAAGATAATTGTTTGTTTGAAATGTGTCATTTGTTGTGATAAAATTGATTTGATTTTCATAATAAAATTTATATTTGCTCAAACTCAAATTGGACCTTTGTGCCTTGCCCTGCTCTACGTACATACTTTTTATTAAATTTACTTTAATTCAAGGTATGTTACTTGAAACTTTTTAAAAAGCAGGTCAGAGCAGTTATATCTAATTCATTTTCTATCTCTCCTCGCAGAAATTTGAAAAATTTGTATAAGCTCAGTAGTATTATTTACAATTATACACAAAATCCAGAATCCAGAAGAATCTGAAAAACTTAAAACGTAATCAATAAGTTGAAATACCAAAAAAGACTTGGATTGGATTATACCATGATTTCTATAGAAAGTGTATAAAGCTTCCAGTTTGATTGTATTGACAAAAACATAGACAAACTAATGGGGTTTATTGTTTTGATAATACCTCATTGTATATAGCATTCAAACAATACATCCTTATACACTTATAGTATTAATATTTTTGATTCTCTAGAAATTGTTTAGAATATAACTTACTTAGCAAAACAACGTTTGCCGGGTCAGCTAGTATATTCTAAACGCAATGCAATTTTAGCTTTTGTCAATCTGTAAAATAGACTTGATTGGAATCAGATTTGTTTCTGATTTGAATCAGGAAATTTTTGAGTCATCACATTGCTACTTAAAATTTCCATCATTAATGCGTACAATCCTAATGATATTTATTTTATGATTCACTCTTTCATTTATACAATTTTCTAATATAGTCATTTATTAGATTAGATATTTGTTTTGGTGTCACATGATTTAAATTAATCATCGAATAACAATTTGTCGGTCACTAAAATAATTTTTAATTTGTGTAGATTTCAGAAAATGATGGCTTCCCAAAGCAAATTTGTTCCATGTGTTTAGAAGAATTAAGAGTAGCTGCTTCATTTAGAGAGAAATGTCTGAAATCAGATAGAAAATTACATGTGTGTTACTCTAATTATATCTCGATAAAAAATGAAATAGATTTGGAAGACAAGAATAAAAATCATCATGTTGATCATGATTACGCTGAAAACATAGACGTACCTATTAGTTCCTTATTCAATCAGGAAGTAATAATAAAATCAGAACCTCATAATGCTGAAGTCGAATATAATTGTCAGTTTTGCATAGATACTTTCTCATCTGTACAAGAGCTTGAAAAGCATGTAAAAAAGCACAAGAAAAATAAATCATATCAGTGTCAAGTGTGCTATAAATTATTTACTCAGAAATCGCACCTTCAAAGACATTTATTAATACATACAAATGTTAAACCTTTTTCTTGTGACATTTGTAAAAAGAGTTTTAAACAAAAACCACATTTAGTAAGGCACATTTCGCTACATACTGGTTTCAAGCCTTTTCAGTGTGAAGTTTGTGGAAAAAAATTCGTGACCCCATCTGATTTAAATAAACATTTAGTGATTCATCTGGGCACAAGACCATTTCAGTGTGAAATTTGTGGAAAATCTTATAATAATACATCTGACTTAAATAAACATCATGCTAAAATACATAATAAAAATCCTGCAAGACTCATGTGTGAAATATGTAAATTGAAATGCGAGACGAAGAAGGAGTTAAACCAACATATGCTAGTGCATTGTAATTCCGAAAAGATCTGGACTAAATTGAATATAAATACTAAAAACAGAAGAAGTGAAAAAGAACTTTGATTTCTTCGAAATAAGTGAGTGGTTGTTTAAATTCTAAGAGATATATAATTTTATATCATATTTTTAATTATATACTTCATATTGAAGAAATAATTGTTTCATAATGACAATGGATAAAAAATATTGCTAAGCTGACATGATTTACAAATTTAATGATTTTAATTAAACGAAATAATCAAATCATCAATTTGGTCTTATATATTTTTAATCATATAAAAGAAATTCTGAGCATATTTCCATTTTTTTAAAGGATTAAAATTACTTAATTTAATTAAGTAATAAATTAATTATAATACATTATAATGTATTAGATATAAGGTACATAAAGGTAATCAATTCTAAATTCTGAAGAATATTAAATTATTTATCATGTTTTTAACTAAATATATTTTGTTGAACACAAGAAGTATTTGTTTTATAATACCTGTATATGTATTATGGTGAGCTAACATTTATTCGATTTATTATTAAACTCACATTTTCATGATATCATAATTAACTTCTCGAAGGAGAAGTTTGTTTTCATAAAAAAATCCGATTTGCTAATTTTATGTTTTCTCGAAGTTTCAAGCCATTCTGAAACGAATGAGATTAAATTTCGAAAAAGTATGTGTGTGTGTATGTGAACAGATTTTTTGCCGTAAATCGACGTTTTCTCAAAAACGGCTAGACCGATTTCAAAAATTTAAAAACCATTCGATGGACTAGCGTTAATCAATTTTGCGCGACGATCAGCCAAGTAATATGGAAGTTGTAATTTGGAAAAAAGTGTTAAACTTTTCGTCCACATAAAAAATCAAAAACTAATATCGAAACATATTAGTCGAAAATGATACTGATTAGTTTTAAGTGAAAATCTACCGAGCCGTTTTCTTGTAATTAACTGTTGTAAAAACAAATTTAAGTCGATTTTCGTGGAACTTTTTTGGCGATATATATCATTGTCTTATAGAACTTACTAAAATATTACGGCCTCACGACATGTTTGATTTGATTAGTTTGATTTACTAATTTAATTTACTAATAAAAACCAGATATTTTATGAAAGTGAGACAATGATGCTGCTTGAAAGTTGACAAAAAGTGGACAAAGTTATTTACTTCCATGAAAAAAATGTCTGATTTTGTAACAAAAATCCGCATTTACTTAGTTGCCAACCTGATCTGTAGTATTTATAAATACCAAAATATTGTGATGAAGTTGAAGTTAAATGATTCCTAATTCATAATATGACAACGAAAATGGATAATAATATATAAAGAACTGCTGATATAATTTTCACAAGAAGTTTAACCTGAATTTATGTTTATTATAAGTATAGGCCAACAGATTTTTTGATAACATATAATTAAATCACGAGCAACTATAACGCATAATTTCTAGTAGTTTTAATTGAGGTTTTTTGTTTGAAGTAAGTTTTAATTATTGAGAAGACATAGTATTATTTATTAGACATAGTATTATTCATTTCAAGCCATATCACGCTCATTTTCTTTACAACTATCAGATAAAAGGAATGCTAGTTGGAAGTGAATTCAAAATGTACAAAAGTCTTATAGGAATCGTGAGTACAAATTATTATTTTTAAATTCAAGAAAAATTTACAACATTAATTTACAGGCTTTCGCAATTTTATTTTGTATTAAGTCTTTATCTGCCACAGCTGATGGAAATGGTACAATGTTAGATTTTTTACAAGATTTTGTGGATTTTTCTGGCAAACCAGCATCTATAACGAATCTATTATGCAAAGAACATGGTAATACATACATATATATATATATATATATATATATAAATATATATATATAAATTCTTGCACTTGGTGTGTATATAAAATAGATTTTTTCTGTGGTGAAAATTATCTATATTTGATTAAAACTAATTATATATAAATTATCTGTCGTAAATTGATTAAATGAATAAATAAATAAATGGTTGATAAATTTATAAAAGTTTGCGTCGAGATATCAGTAATACTTTATGGTATGAGGATGTGCACCATGGTAATACATTTTGTTAACATTGCGAAAACAGCAGAACTATTCAAAACTTACAATTATGTCATATTTGATATACATTTAAAATACTCTAATTATTGTTTTTTTTTGTTTAAACAAAATATTTTACCAAAGTTGACATCTTCATACCATGGAGTATTACTGTCGTTTTATTTCTCCAAAGATCTATAAATCTTCTATTAATTTATTTATTTGATTAGGATATCAAATCGTTATTTTTTTTACTTAGATTTTGATTTGTTAGTTTTAATTAATTAAGTTCATTTTATATTGAATGAAGGCTAGGAAGTCAGTCAAAACATTTTATTATTATTACTATTTTTTTTAAATTATAGAGAAGTCGATCCATTTTTATCATTCGCTTCCTTTCACGGGGATTCGGACATTATCTTACAATAAAAGTTGGCAGGATTATGAAAAAACCTCAAATTTGCAACAACATGAAATATTTATTCTGGACATTTCCTGTTCTGATGCCGAGGATATTCTAGCACTGGTATACATGCTCATACAGTTATGTTACAGTGAAATATATTTAGGTGTTTACAGTGGCGGATCCAGCTTTGGCGCCAGGGAGGGGTCACGTAATTAAATTATCTATAGAACGTATATTGGCAATACGATTTATTGCTGAATTGGTGTTCTATCTAAGTCTTACCCCAGTAACACACCCCCTGGATCCGCCTCTGGGTGTTGATAACATTATATATTGAACCTGTTCTACAATCTGAAATAACTAGTTTTAAAATTATATTTATAAAATATATATTTTGTGAGTTAATTCCACAAACGCGATCTAAACGTTTTGATAGCTGATTTATTTTAATAGTAAGTATTCAATTTTTTAATGCCCTTGCTATTTTGCCTAACATTAGTATTATGTTTTAGTCATCCTTGCATTACATATGTATGTATTAACAAAATTTTGTTGTAATTGCAATTACAACATTTTTAACTTCTCATAGTGTAAGTTATACTAATCGAAAAAAAATTCGTAAATGAACATTTTTATATATCTTCAAGTCTCAGAGGTTTCTGAACATTTTGGCATACCTTGGAAAAAATGGATGTATTTGTGTGTGTATGTATGTTTGGGTACAAATTTTTGACGACGATTTTGGAACACGGTTCAGCCGATTTGAATGATTAAAAAAATTCCATTCCTATTGATAAAGAGACGTGCTGATTAGTTTTTGGACGAGACAGAAATTGCCTAAAATGGTAATTAGGTTTTTAAGAGAACGGAACTTCCGATTTTTATAATTCAAAAATCATTTTACTTAAATGAAGAACTTTTTAAATTTTTGGAAGGCAGGTCTAGCGGTTTTCGAGTTCGAGTAAAAAAGTAAAAAAAAAAATGCCATTCGGCGGTCGAAAAATGATCATTAGACATATGCACATCAAATTATCAGTTGATTTCAATAATGTGTATCAATTTTGTTTATTTATTTCTATAAGTTCTGTAACATTGTTTTTCCCTTAGGCTGCGACGCGGCGCTAACGCGCTCGATATTGTATCTCTAAGCAGCTCAAAAAAGTTCAAAATTTCCAAAATATTTCAAATTAAAAAAAAAAAATTTTTTTTTCAAAAAAGTCATTTTTTTTCAAAAATTTCAAAATTTTCAAAAAACAAATTTTGAATCTTTTTTATAAAATTTAATTTTTAGTTTTAGCAATTCGGGAAATGTTTGATGGCAATGTTTATAATTTTGGCGAAATTTTTGTCCTTATGTATAATTTTTGAAAACATATTTAAAGTGAATTTTTTGAATCGCTGATATCTTAAGTTGTTGGTCTTAATATTCTAGATTCTAGATTAATCTCACATTTTACTACTTCTGGACTTCTATAATCTGATTACAGAAATGAAACTAAATTGATTATAGAATTGTTTGCAAGGAAATACATGAATTTGCAAGGAAATACATGAATTTTTATATTGTCGCATTATTTTATCAAAACACTAAAAGGATTTAACAATTCAAATTATAAGCTTAAGTTCGTGATCTAGATTCTGGAATATTTAGATAGTTGATTTCAATTTGTTGTTTCAGTTATATAATATTTACTTCAAACAACTTTTTTTTAAATGTTTGATATTATTTATAACAACTTTCACAGGCAGATGAATACAAGTTATTCAATTTTCCATTTACTTGGATTTTGTTGACAAGAGATTCAGATTATAGTTTTTTGGAATACCTTACAAAATTGAATATACTGCCCGATAGCAATGTTATTATAGTAGAGAACAGAAGCAGTCATTTGCATTTATATCAAGGTAAAGTAGAAATAAAATATTCTTATATAGAAAAATAATATTAACTTTGTAAAAAATTTGTGCAAATCATGAAACAGACTGTTATTCGAATGAACAGCTGTAAATGAATTACTTTCATATATATATATATATATATATATATATATATATATGTTTCATACATATATATCACGTTTGAAAAACTTTTATTTTTAAGATTATATTTTTTACTGCTATATTAAGAATAGCTGAAAAAAATATTAAGATTTTTAGCTTTACTTTAAGATCAGTTACTAAAATAGCTAAAGAGATAAAACGATTTCTTAAACTTTCCTTAGTTGTATATAGGTAATTGATATCGCGGAAATATAATAATACAAATTTGTGCATATAACTTTATTTGAGAGAACGTCTGAACCGATTGTGTTGATTCAATCCTTTAGTTTTGTATTTATTATGCGTAGAGTTTATTATGGAGTGTGTTGTGTTGGATATTTTTCAGTATATAAAATTTCACCAACGAGAGAGTTACTTGTGGAAACATTCGGAAATTGGACCAGAACTAATGGAATCATTGACGTTCGGCCATCACCTCTCAATTCTAGGAGAAGGCATGACTTAGCCGGAGAAAAATTAACTCAATGTATAGCTTTGCCTAACAAAAAGACCAAAATTTTAGAGTAAGCAAAACTAATTCAAATTTCAATATAATTTAATTTTTCAAATTTCAATTTGATATTTTTTTGTTCTTAAACTCCGAATCCGAATCAGATTCTTGAAGTTGTTTTGATGGTTATGTGTTGTGATTATTTTTTCCAATATAAACGCAAAGGTTGACTTATTTTAGTTTTAATATAGTTCTTATTAGAAGACAGGTCAATGATGGTCTTTTTCTATTTGGGATGATATTTTCAATGGAAACACATTTTACATAGAATGCTCGATATCAGGTTGCACACAATGGGTGATTTGAATTCAGAACCTTGTGTTGCAAGGTCGAGGTTTTATTACTTGCACCACGTACTCTATCTGATACAACTTATGCGACATACCTCTTTGAATTGTAGTTTTCCAGTTGAATTTAAAGATTTCACAGATTTTAAAACGATGACTGCGTTTAATGAAAATATAGAAAATTGGCCTAAAGTGCGCTCCAAATAAAATTCTGGAAAAAATATACCAGTATATTTATCACAGATGTACCAGTATATATTATCACAGCTGGGATCGCATCTTGAGTCATTTTTCTATATTAAGTCGCAGTCATTGTTTTAAAATCGGTAAAATCTTTAAACTCAACTGAATAACTCCAATTATTATCTAAATTTTAGTATTTATATGTTTGCACTTCGCTATTTATTAGGAACTATTAAACACATGGAAGAGAGTACAGAATTTACATTTATAAATAAACTAGCAAACTCGACGAACTCCGTTTCGCCACCAGATGGTTTCG